ATATGAAGTATTGCAAGAGATGTGCTAACAAAATATATGCAGAATTTAGAGAATTATTTTCCAGCCAAGACTTGGTTTCTCATCCCCATACTTTTCAGCTCTCAAAAATGTCTCAAAGTAATAAATAGCATCAGGATATATATCAAATTAGGGTATTGCCAGTAAAATATAGTCTTGAGATTTAATTCGAATCAAGGCGTCTTTTATTTAGATAACAAAAATTTAAGGAAGTGCTGTGCAGACGTTTTTTTTCCTCATGATACATATTTTAATAAAAAATAATGAATGGGTTTTTAAGACACTTATGGATATCACTCAATAGCACCTCAATTTGCAGCCAAACATAGAGAGGGAAACTATATTGAGATTTGAGTGTGGATTTTGTCTGATGTAGTGATTATAATTTAATGTATAAATTATATAACACCATTTAAAATATTTTTCTAAAATATTATTCACTTATTTTTAGACAGAGGAAGGGAGGTAGAAAAAGATGGAGAGAAGCATCAATGTGTGGTTGCCTCTCACATGCTCCCTTCTATGGGGACCTGACCTGCAACCCAGGCATTGTGCCCTGATAGGGAATCGAACTAGCAACCCTTTGGTTTTCAGGACAGGACTCAATCCACTGAGCCACACCAGTCAGGACTTAGACTATTTTTAAAAGGATCTATAACAGCTTGAAGTACTGGGACTTAGTTTAAATGCAAATAGCTTTCTAGGCACTAACTATATCTGGCCTAGATGTGAGACAAGAAATTTATTCAACTATAATCACATACCATTTCCTACAAAAAGTAAGAATATCTCAAAGAACCACGATAAGATCCACTGACAGCGATAGATTGAGTAATCAATCACTACCAGGGACTAGAAAGAGATTCCAATCAAGGAAAATCCCTTATGTTGGAGGCAGATGGTTCTAGTAACTTTTGGTTGCCTGAACTTCACAGTTTTTACAGAAAAGTAACTGTTATATGCTCCCATTCCTCCCTTCTTGTTTTTGAATGGCAGTCTCTATTTTTGCTGTCCTCTCCCTGTCTCACAATTGTCTGTAAGGATTTATTGGGCAGTTGAATTGTTTCTTTAAGTGCCCAAGCACCTGCATTGAGGATCAATGTCCAGGTATATAATACCTGAGGAGAGTTCTTGGCACCTGGAGTTGATTTTGTTGAATAAATTCTGAAGTTTAAGGTTGATCCTGATAACACAAGATTTTGGACGTCTTAGTGACCCCTTGGGGTAAGTGAATTTTGCATGTGAAAATGATGTGATACGGTAGGAGACAGAAGAAGGATGGTGCTATACTCGTACTATAGCGTTGGTTGTGATCAATAAATCAGTCTGCTGTTTACACCTCATGCAAATACATTGACTATGTGTTTACTCTCAAAACTTTATTTGGCCAGCTGCACATTGCAAGTGTGATGCAAACAGAATCTTGTTAAGAGTGTGTACACTGGGGCTGCCACGTGTGAGATCTCTCTTCAAAACTAGTAGCCATATAAGTGAGCTCACCTACACCATAAGGAGTAAAATAATTGCCAAGCTGAGTCAAGTTAATACACATAGTCATACAAATAATATATTGTTGATGTTTTAAGCCACTAAATTGTGGGTTGATTTGCTTTTCAGAGAGAATTGAAAGAGAAGTAAAGGGAATAATAAAAGAGAAAGCAACACTTTCAACTTTTCTGAGACCTCAAATTTAACTTATTAATAAGTAATTTAATGAATTATGAAATAATTGACTTTATTTATCATCTGCTTTAATGAATATAAAGTAGCTAACACAATTGATCAGAATTGGTGTTGAAATTTGACAGACATAGAGCTAATTATCGCTACCATTTATTGAAAGTCGGCGGTGTGGTCCAGAATTCACATTTGTTAACAGCTTCCCAGGCAGTGCCGCAACTGATGGCCCGGGACCACGTTTTAAGAACTACTGCTCTTACTAAGTGTTTATTTATTCATTAAACTCTTTTCCTTGGAAACCAAAAGGTTGTGACTGGAGATGAGGCAAGAAGGCAAAAAACATTCTCTCAGTCTTTTTTTTTTTTTTTTTTTTTTAATTCTTACCCAAGGATATGTTTACTGCTTTTAGACAGAGGGGAAGGGAAAGAAAGAGGGAAACACTGATGTGAGAGAGAAACGTTGATCAGGTGAGCCCCTTACTTGTCCAACGGGGATGGAACCCTTGATCCAGTTACGTGAGCTGACCAGGGATCAAACCCACCTCCTTTTGGCGTAGGGGACGATGCTCCAACCAACTGGGCAACCTGTCTAGGGCCATTCCTTCTTTTGAATATATAGAGATATGTTCAGAAATATTTAAAAATCCAAAAGTATTTGTCAAGTCATAATTTCACTCACCACAAAGATGTTATTCAAAATAAACATAAAATGCAACACTTTATTAAAGCAAAAGTATCTTTACTAGTAATATACAAATGGTGAAGTGACAATTTTGATTACTGTAAGCCATACTTTCAATATCTCTCATAAATACAAAACTTCAACATTTGCATTATAATTTTTACAGTTTAGACATATATATATACAGCATTTCATAGGGACATACTATATTGAAACAATAAGAAAAATTTGTGGTAACTAACTAACTCAAGGATATAGAATTTGAATGGAATATATAAGTTAAAGAAAATAAGAGTATGTTTTAATGCATACTGAACACAGCATAGAATTCTCATAGCATAAAAAAAGTTTTTCTAAAACTTTTATATCTAAGAAGTTCACGTATTCCTAACAGAGTTTAGAGGCAAATGCAAAACCATGAACATTCCTTTAAAAACTGAAACATGTTTGCTCTTAACAGTACCATTTATTGTATATAATGCATGATGATCTGTAAAGAAAATCTTATTTGCAAAATTTGAATCACAGGTTCTAATGTTCACTGTCTACTTTGGATTTCACTCCACTTTCTCCTTTTTATCAGTAGAACTGGCCTTAACTTTCATCGGAGCAATGTTCCTCGTTCCTGCTCAGTCACGCTCTTCTCACACTAAGTCCTTACTCAAAACGCAGGAGTTCAGTCAGCCTTTCTGGACTCTCTCAGCTCTTCCATTCTCCTATGCCTACTTGTGATTTAAAAGGCTTCAAGAGTCATTGTTTTGCTAACTCTTTTCCAAGGAAAGCTAAAACCCGATGCCAAAACGTGTTTTCATTTCAGGAAAAAAAAATTAAAAGCAGCAATATTAAATGTGTATGGCCAATTTTTATATTAATAAATATGAACACCATGTGGTGTAAATCCTAAAAATTATTAACAAAATTAAAGAGAGGGTACCAACTAATGTATTTAAGTCACTATAGTGAGTAATGGCCTATTTTTCTAAGAATATTAAATGTGTTATGAAATAAATATTAAGTATTATATTTAAAAGTATATGAGGGGAAATAATTAATCAGTTAGTATTCTTGTATAATGTAAAGTAGCTGCATCTACAACAGTAAATGCAATTGCTTAAAAAAGGAGATAAGGGGCCTGGGAGAAAATTTAATTTGTTCAGAAACTATTATATATCGGCCCTTTTCTCATTTACACATATAATTGTTTCATCTCAGAACATTAGTAAGCCCATTAGTTGGATGCTTTCTTGAAAGATTTTCTTTTTAGGTTTGAAGTACTTCATTTCTGTGACCTTCCACAGTTAATTTTAGCATATGCTAATACATCCATATGCAATTTCAATGTGAGAGAAAATGTAATAATTCTTCAAAGGGTTAAGAGGATGCAAGTCTTTTATCTCTAAAGATAAATGATGCAAACAATCACATTTAAAAAATATCTTCACCTACTCATAAGTTTGTTGAATAGACACTCTGGATATGGTTATGGAAAGGACCTCCATAAGGGATTGAAACTGAGTGTTTATGTTATTCTTCATGAAAAAGACCATTGCAATTTTAATCAGTAATTGTAATCTTTTTCTAATATTTTTTAAATTAAGAAATGGAGATTATTCTTTTTGCCACTTCAGTTAAGATATTTTCCTCAGTGATTATTTTATCAACAATAAAGGATGATTTGTGCTCCCAAATCAATATATAACAGTAATAATGTTAACCCAAGTGACACCATAATAATTGACCCTATTTTAAAAAGTCATCTGTTGCTTTGTTTTACAACTGGTAATACTCAATTTCAGCAATACTTAGAATGTATTTATTGAATAGAACAACAATACAGAACAAATTGAGTATATTTTGTGTGTGCATCGAAAGCATTGTTTTGTCATAAGAGGAAATAAATTGCACAGTAAAACTTGTTATATTTAGATTTTGTATTCAAAGTAAAGTAATTTGAATTGAGCGTATTCAATGAATGTAATTAAGACAGTATCATTAAATTGTCATAGATAGAAGCAAAATATATCAATAAAGTTTGCAGTTTGTATTTTTTTCTTTTGAGAAGCAAACTCTCGTGCTAATCTAAAGGCACAGATGCATTTTAATTATTAAAAATAAGCATAAAATAAAGGTATGATTATAAAATTATAATTAATTATTGGCACTCAAATAAATAATTTGATTAATAAAATCCTTCTATTTATATAAATGTTTAATTCAAAGACTAAGATTCATATAAACTTTCCTGGATGAAATAGTCTTTGAAATGCTTATATAGGTATTAATATTAAAAATAAAGGAAAACTCGAACAGCATTACATTAATGTTAGACATTAGTATCAATAATAAATAAATCTTTAGAAATTGCGATTCTTAATTTTTTGAAAATTATTGTAAAATATGTTAACACATTAATTTGTACCAGTTTTAAAAACAAAATATGTGCTAAAATGCTGATATTACTGTTTCCTCTTATATGTTGTTGAATATAGATTGTCATTACCTAATTGCACATTACCTATCAAGAAATACCAGTTCTTTTTTAGTAATATCTTTGCTTCTTGTTTAAAGTACCATAGGTTTTGATTATTTAATATATCTATATTCAGTCAACTATTCTGACATTTGATACTAACAATTAAGAGTACTCACAGACAGTAAAAATAATCTTTATACATTTACATGGATATGTTTAGTCTACAATAAGAATGAAAAACAGGAAACATGATTTCAGTTCTATTCATATTTTACAATTTACTAAAATCCATCTCTCAGATGAAAGCTTTTACAAATAGATTAATTTGGAACATTACTTAAAAACGTTAAAAAGAAAAGCGTATCACAGTATTGCCATGCTCCTGCATAGCATACAGTTCTGGGACAAGAGAGAAGGACCATTCGGACAATTGAAACAGTGCACTTGAAACGATCTGTCTACAATTAGCTCCAGATTACCTGTTAACTTCAAATTGTTACTCCACATTAGTGGCGAGAAATTCAACAATAAATATATATATATATTTATATATATATATATATAAAAGAAATATTTAGATAAATTGCTTTACATGGAAAGTCCAAATAAATGAGAGAAACAGAACTTTCAATCTGAAAAAAACACAAAAATATTTGTTCTTTATTATTATTTCTTTGTTCTTGAAGTATAGCACAAATATATCAATAGTAGACATGCTAAATTGTTTTCTAAGTTTTCCTAATTCTTTTACCATCATCTGTTCAAATTCAGGTAGCCCTATCCAGGAAAAAGTAGCATTCATGGCTATTGCTTCACTGACATTTTACTAAGCCCATTTACTTTGCACAAGTATGTTGATTAGTTTTAGCACATTGATACAAAAAAGTGAAAAAACAGTAAAATAAAGTGAACAGATGATGAGACGAAACCTAACAAACAACAACAAATCCATCAAAAAGACCAGTTGGATAATTCCTACGAAAATTCTTAGGTAGGCACTAAAGTCTTTTCTTTTTCTTCAGAATAGGCCAGAAAGGCTAGCAAGGAGAGACTTCTGTATCATAACCCTGTAAATTCTGGCAAGGACACTGGAGATGTAGTGCCTGAACATGCAGATGGGCAGATTCTGTCTTGCTGATAACCAACATTTTGTAAAATCAGTTAGCTGTCTCTCCTTGGCTGACAGTTTCCAGCACTTTGTATATAAAAGGGTTCATAAGTGGCATTAACATTACATTAATATTCATTAAGTCATCTCTATAGAGCAACGCCCTACAGCAGGTAGCTCTGCACTGTCAGAACTACCCTCCGATGTTCTGCTGGAATGCATTCCCCAACCAGTCAGTAGTTGAGCTGTAACACCACCAGAAACATTAAAGGTTATATGAATGTGATGGGGCCTAAAGAAACCTTTGGCTCTCTAGGGTAAGAAATAATCTAAAATCTGCTCCCAATGGTATGTATATTTATAATCATCAATACATTTTTTTTTTACTTTACATATAAGTAAAAACCGTGTTCCAGTTTTTTACCTCAGGGAGCTTGCATAGCTTGGAAGTTGATAAGTGTTTTATTCGGGTGTTAGGCCCTAACAAGTAATATTGGAAAGTTCATGTTGAATAGTTAAGGAATTTTTCAACTAAAGTTGTTCATCAAAATCTTAAAACAACTTCTAGCTACAACATCCAGAATAAAAGGATAGTACAATAGTAATTTAATTGTTTAGCATTGACACTTTCATGGCATATTTCAATCTTAATATCTCCTTAATTGATCCAAGCTAAGGATTGTTACTTCCATTAGCCAATTTCATGTATGATTGACTTATAACACTTGGAAAAAGAACTTTTAAACAAAGATTATCTAAAACAATGGGCAAAAAAATGTATCTGAAAACACAGTTTGAAGTAATGGGAAGTTAGAGACCTGGTTTTTTGGTAAAATTATTAAAAAGTAAAAGATAATCACATATATATAAATATAGCAACACAACAATGATATTATTCTCATTTCAATTTACTTTATTACTTGAAGCTCAGGGCAGAAAATAATATAATTTTCACTTGCAATACATTTGTGTGTGTGTGTATGTGTGTGTGTAATCCATTGTGAGTGAATATGGCATATTTAAAGAGAGAGATTTACGGAATCTTTCTAATCTAATTTTACTTACAACTAATATTCATTCAAGTGGGTAACAATTTTGATCTGGCACTTCAGTCTACCAAAAATCAACATAATTGTAACTTTAAAAGAGTTTTTCAAAGTTTCTTTTGATTTTTGATAATTGCTAAAGATAGCTGGCTCCTTCCAGCCCCGGTTCCCTGAAATTCTCTTGATAAAAAAATGATAAACTTTACTAAGTGTTTTCATCTTAAACTGAAGAAGACTTTAATTATCTGTCTGCCAAAATAGAATTAAAAACATGCAGGACTTTCTTATACATTTGGCTCACAAAGTTTTGATTTGTTTTGTTTGTTTGTTTTGTTTAAACCTCTATTTGTTGGAGAGGTTGCGGTATGAAATACAGTTCTTCAGAAGTATAGCACTTTAGCCATCTAATAAATTGCAACTCTTTGATCATAGCATCAAATTGATACCCAAGCATTGGTGCCAGTCAGGTCTCTATACTGAATATCTTAACAAAATAAACAACAACAACAATAACAACAACAACAACAACAACAAAGGAAATTGACCATGGGCAGGAGTATTTGATCATATGTATATGTGTACAAGCTATTCCAAGCTAGAAGTTTCCCAAGAAATTAAGGGCAATGGAATAGTTTTGGTCATAGGGTCACTGAAATCCGAATGCTCTTTGTAGCATTGTTCAAGCCTCTGCAATCTTGGTGTTATGCTTTGCTGTCATCCTCTTTTGACTGGATGTCATTAGAAACCTTAATTTCTATAGTTTCTGGATTTAAGACTTCTTTCCCATTCTCTTCTTTCAAAGGCAATTTTCTGGAAGAAAATATGAAAATAATAAACTTCATTTGCTAACGTACCTTAAGTGGGATCTCTTAACATTTAAGTTACTGTTTGGTCGAAGGAAAGATATTACAATGATTAGAATAAAAAAATCTGATTTGTTAAAGTAATGTCAAATTGACAAAAATAATCTAAAAGAATAAAGAAATATTGCCTACTGTAAAAATGAGGTGTGATGCAAAATGATGAGTGAAATAATAAATTTGTAAATTTACATGCACCAAAACATTCATTATAGGGTGGCTTAAATTTGATAATGAGTTGATAATATTAAACAAATATATTTAAGTATCTTGGAACATAAAAAAATAAAGAAAATAATATGTCAAGTAGATGATATACGAGTACGTAAATTTTGCAGCAAAACAATCAGTAGCTGCTGCCATCTTCTCTTATGTTAATTTAGGAAGCTAGATAAACTGGCATTATTCTTTGGAACTTAATGTGAATAAATATATTTCAGAGCTTTCTTACTTTTTTATATTTACTGTTTATTTTCTTTAATTGGTCTCTATTCATTATTATTATTCTCTTCTTACTGATACAGAGAGATCTGGTCAGGTCACTGGGGAGGAGAGAGGAAGGAGTCGTAGGAGGAGGATGCCTGAGACAATGGTCAATAGTCTAGGATGGGACTGGCTGAGAAGCGGGATGCCTCTCGGGTGCATGGAATTACAAGCTGGAAGATTTAAACAGAAGGCGGGCAGAGACTCGCTTTTTTTCTCTTCCTCAGGGGTTGCTGGGTAATCATGCTGCTGCCACCTGCATTTCCCAAAGGACAGTATCTTAGATGGGAGAAAGAACTCTGGGTACAGCCTAGGATTGGTCTGGCCTTGTGGAGGGTGGCAGGGTTATTCTTTGGGTGTTCTGGAGGGCATGGGCTCTGAGGCAGAGGCCTGCCGTTCTTCCAAAACTGTGTAGCTTTTGTATCATATGTTGTTTTAGTTTGTAAACCAATCTTACAGAAATAAGATAACTAAACACTAACAGAGGGAATAAACATTTGTTTCTACAATGCTCATTTTATTTCATTGATCTACTTGATTATTTCTGGGCTGGTGTCATGTAGTTTTAATTGCTGAGACTTTACAATGGATTTACATTTTTAAATATTTTATAATGGGTCTTGTCATTTAAAAAAATAAATAAATTCAATCTGCATTAAAAAAAGGAAAGAAGAAAGAAGGAACTCCTAGCTTTTGCGACAACATGGATGGAACTGGAGAATATTATGCTAAATGAAGTAAGCCAGTCAGTGAAAGGCAAATACCATATGATCTAACCTATAAGTGGAATCTATTCAGCAAAATAACAAACAAAATAAACCACAGGCCAGGAAACATAGAGCAGATGGAAAGTGACCAGAGGTGAAGGGGAAGGAGGACTAATGGTGGAAAGAAGGAGAAGGGACTAAACAAAGAACACGTATGAATGCCCCATGGACACGGACAACAGAGTGTGAAATGACTGTGCGAGAGAGGGCAGGGTGGAATGGGTAGGGAGAGCAAAGGGGGGCAAATTGAGACAACTGAGATAGAATAAACACGATTTAAAAATAAAAAAATAGAACACTTTAAACAAAGAAAAAGAGTTAAAGATTTTAGCCTTAATTGATAGTCTTAAGTGATTAAAGCTGGAACTGAAGAGTTAAAGATTTTAGTCTTAGTTGATAGACTTAAATGATTAGTATGTGCAGAAAGCTGTTTTTCCAAAATCATGTAGCTTTTGAATAAAGACTCCTTTGTTTTTCACCAAATCTCTACCTTGAGAAATTTCCTAGAGGGTGGCAGGGGGCAGCAGGACCCCCCCACTTGATGTTCTGTTACATCTGTTGTATCATTTATGAGCACTTTTTTGAGAGTTGTTTCCAATTGTTACATATGAAGCAATAACAAATTTTTCTCCCAACATTAACATTTGTCAATTTGCCCAATATTAAAATTCACACAAAGTGAAATTAGTGTTACTCCATAAAGTACATGAGTTTTCAACATCTATGCTGTATATATGAAACTAATACAAAATGATATTGGACATAAAAAGCAATTGAAAAATAAAAAATATTAAAAACCCCACAGAAATAAAAAAGAAATAAATAAAAATAATTTACAATTTAGCTTTTAAAATATCATGCGATCTTTGACTCTGCATGGGACATATTCTAAAGACTAAAAAGATTACAAATATATCTTTAACTTCAGATAATGTATGTATTATCATTCACAACCTTTATTTCTTAATTTTAAGACAGCTTCAAGAATCTTATTCTGATGATGATCAATCAAGATTTCTAGGTTTTCTTTTCCCTACAGTTCTTAAATTCAGTGCTTTACCATTACATTTTGTGTACATGGCTGTAGGGGGAATTTTTCTTCCTTTGAAAAATATTTTTTTCCACATCAAAAAAATTTAGTTACAAATATAATTATAATTCACCACTCCAACTTCAAATTCACTATTTTATGGGAGAGTGAAAGCTACTACACTAGTTCTGCGATAGGATAATGGGAAGTTAGGAAAAGTCCTGTGCAAGTGGAATAGGGGAACTGGGAAAAGAAAATTAAACAAGGCAAAACAATTTCAACAACCTAGGCCAGCTGGTGAATCTCAAGGTCTTATCTCCCTTAACCAAGGGCACTTGAGAGCAAATGTTTTATACCTTTCTTCCCTGACAAGAGAATACATAGCTTAAATCGCCCTGGTCTGGGAAATAGAGAGCAGAGACTTAATTAAACCTAAGGATGGATAAAGTCAGGGGAATGAATAGCAAAAACCCCATTGAAAAGCCAGGCAGACTCAAGATAAAAGTAAAACAGCAAAGCAGACCAAAGAATAATCCCAAACTCCCTTCCCTCTATGTTCATTTTGATGCACCAACATATTAAAAACACACCTGTAAAGCTAATGGATATTGTGCTGAAACCCTTCCCTAAGATTCCTCCTACGAAAGAGAGAAAATCCTCAAGACAGAGACCAGGGGTAGGTCTGCTCTAGAGTGAGCTGATGCTCCTCCTATGGCAGGAACTTTTTACTTCCTCTTAAACTCTAAGGGTCCCCATGAGACTTGCAGCCTGGGGAGCAGTGCGCAGCGACAGCTCAGCCAGGGTTTACCCTTTGACTTATCTCCAAGTCCCCCTTTTCCTCTGACTCCCACTGAGCTAAACACTGCCCCATCCTGGTTCCTTTCTATCACTGTGACCCTCACTTGCCAGTGAGCCCCACCTTGGCTCACTCCTTTCCTGTAACTTTTCTAGAAAGCCAGAGGAGAGTCCCATCTAGGCTCTCTCCTGCTGCTTTTCCTAACCTACTTTTTCTGTTGCACTGTCCCCAGCTTTAGTGAACCTACTCTCAAAAACCAGCTGGACTTGTGAAATCTGCCCCATACAGAGTCAAGAACCCACACACTCCAGCTCAGCCTCAGGCAGACCTGCTCAAGAACAGGCCCTGCCCTTTAATAGTTGCTCTGAAATTTATTTGCGATTAATTTCATATTTTGGAATGAGTGGATAATCCATTTTATTCTGAAGATAAAAACCATGTAAAAACGAATCAATCAAAAATAATTCATAGGCAAAATCTAGTAAGATCCATTTTTGGGATGAAGGAGCATTTACTTCATACATTCAGGGCAGTTTCTTTTATGCATATTATAAATATTGCAGACACAGTTCTTTTTTTTCTATTTCTGAGTACTGAAAACATTGACAATACAGATTATAAAAACAATGGGTCACTTGTAGCATCAAAACGTAGAGAAATTTAGCACTGACATGGGAAGTTAGCATAGACTTAATGCATCTCTAACTCAAAGAGCTATGTATTGAATTTGTAATTAACCAGTGTTTCAACTAATTGTTGGACCATGTGGTTTTGCCTATATAAATATAAACTACTTATGTTTATGCTAATTAAAAAAACATTGTTAATATTATTATATTCTGTTGAGTATTTTTCTATGATTGAGTCCTAGAGTAGGTAAATCATCTCTTGTTTTTGTTTCCATTTGTTAGATTGTTTTAAAATATATGTCTGTCATATGCAAGGGTATTTTCTTAACTCATTTTCATAAACATCAATAGAACATTGTAAGTGATAATTATACACAAAAAATTTGTTTTTTGACCTAATATTTTGCTTTGTTGAAAAGATATATAACTTCTGAGAAAGAGACAATAGAACTCACCTTGCACCCTCTGCTTCACCTAGAGTTAATTTCAAATTAGAATATAATAAGTCTAAATGCAATCACTAAAAACAACCTAGACATTCATATTGAATGTTTAACTACAGAGTAAGACATTGTATTTGCTTAAATATTAATCATTTTAACCCATTGAGATCGGATAATGGGGATTTATGAAACAAATTGTTTTCTGCAGCAATGACAACACTCAGAATTTGATTTAGAATGTTTTAAAAGAAAGGTATAAAACATCCTAACTCAAGCTTTTCTGCATGGGAATGTTGCCTGGCAAAGAAAAAGAAATTTTTATTTTGAAATCAATGAAATTTAAAAGTCATTATAGTGAGCAGTATTCAAAGAGTGATGTGATAGTCACGGTTTGTTAGTGTTAAATATATTCAATAAAATACAACTATTACTGCTTCTTAATAATGTCTTTGATTTAGATTATTTTAATTTTTATGTATGTGAACCTAGGAACCTGTTCATACACTTTAAAGGTTTAGTTAAAACACCTGCTATGGTTTTAGTGGAGTTACGATGAATGCAGAAAAAATAATCTTGAATGGAGACCAAGCACCATTTACTACATAAATATTAAAATGGCAGTTTAACAGCATTTCTTCCTGTCCTTTACAAATATTCTTTATTAAAAAGTCTTTTGTATATTTAACACTATTTCTATTTTAGACTGTCATATTTATATTCAAAGCAATCACTACTTCCTCATAAAACATCTTTATTTCAGTAAAAATCAATGGCATGTTCAAACCGTAACTTTCTCAGAGTGAGATTAGTGTAAAAAAGATGACTCTCTCTGACATTTTTGTATAAAGTTATAAATATATATTTGAACAGCAGATTCTCTCTGACATTGATACAAAGTTTTCATGTGAAGTGGCTGCAGACAATAGATTTTAGATATTCACACATAGTTCCCTTGAAAAACAACATTTTTCACAAATGATCATATTTGTGAATATTTACTAAAATAATAATAATGTGTTATCACTTTACAAATATTTATCTAAAAATCATTTCAAGCTACATACTCAGGCTCTGTTAGTGGTGTGGTTTCATTTGGCTCATTCACTGGGCTTCCATCCTCATGATTAGTAATCCTTTCGTCCTCTGTTCTCATTTCCACTATTGGCTCTTTTGATCCATCTTTCCTAGAAAAATAAAGAAAAAGAATTCTTACCTATATACTGTAAAAGTGGATGCATTATGAAATATATTTTAAGATCCCCACCTAATTCTATCTCCTCATGAATAAATCCTATATAGATTGAGAATACCACTATGAAATTTTTTGCATTTAAAATTTATCTTGCCATATTTTTCACTGAGAAAAAGTAGAAAGAAATCCTCTTTTGTCTGCAATTGTTTTTCTCATCAATATTGTGTTTTAAAATATGAAAAATAAAATTATATCTTTTATTGTTTTAGATGTCTATGAATTTAAATGAATGATTTTGACTATATGATAATTGACTTTTAACATATTTGTGTTTTCAAGCAAATAGTTTAAATAAAAGAATACTATAACATATATGCAAGATACTTTCATTGATAATTTCAAGTTTACATCATCTTTACCAGATTTCTAAAATATTAGAGTAAGTGTAATTTATCAAAATTATGAAAAGTTGAAAGTTCACTGCAAAGTTTCTTATCTCAAGAAATAAATAAAAGTTAAGAAAAACCAGGAAGTCATTTGTTGATGATGAAGGGTAGATGAGTTATAAGGGTGGAAATGAAGTATGCATAATACAGATGATAATCCACCCCCCTTCCCCAAATAAGAGAGGGATATGAAATCTCCAGCTCCCCAGGGACATGTCCTTACCACACAATTCCACCATTATGCTCTTTCATATTAACCCAAATGAGCTGAAACTTATGTCCACACAAAATCTACACATGAATGTTTATAGAAACTCTATTCATACTTGCCAAAAATTGCAACCAATTAATATGTCTTTCTCAGTGAGTGAATGGATAATCTGTGGTACAGTCATACAATTAGACATTATTCAGCAGTAAAGAGAAATGAGTTATCAAGCTACAAAATGGCATGGAAAAATTATAAATGCATATTGCTAAGGGAAATAGCCAGTCTGAAAAAGCTACATACAGTGTAATTTCAACTATACTATGTTCTCAGAAAGGGAAAACTATACAGGCAGCAAAAACATGAGTGGTTGCCATGGCTCGCGGTGAGGGAGTGAGGGGCGGATATAATGGTAGATCACTGGGCATATCAGGCAGCGAAACTATTCCACAATTTCAAGTATAATCTGGTGCTTTATATATCAGTTATATCTTAATCCTCATTGAGATTTTATTAAATCCTTTTTCCAATTTGTTCTATTAATTTTGGGAAAAACATTTTTAAGGCAGAAACACTGGGATACAGAAAATTACGACAGATGGATAAAAAGCATGGGATGAAGCATGTGTTTTCATCTTTCCAAGTCTTTAAGGTTAATTAAACTCAGCAGGAGTTACCAACAGAAGTGTTTGTGGATAAATTAACAAATGAGAGTCAAATAGAAATAAACAGCAGAACTTGGATATATCTTGTTGTTTTGCCCATGGTCACCAACATTCCTCTAGTTAGTTAAGACAAAAGCAGGGATATCCTTTCTCATATATCTCTTACTTCCACCTCAATCAATCAATAGTATTTGACTCTACCTCAACTACATCCAGAATCTCTATATTTTTATGTGTCTATAGTAGTACTGGCGGTACGACCTTGGACCAAAAGGCCATATTTTTCCCTCCGAGTGTTTTAAGATCCTTCTACTTGGTCTCCTTCATTCTGGATCTTTCCACTACAGCCCTCCAGTATTCTGTTCTTCATCAGTAGCTAAAGCAATTAATTTTCTTTAAAAAACTTTCATTAACTTTCAGTTAAAAAAATTGTTCACTTTGACCCAAGAAGATTTAATACGTTGGTTCCTAGATAATTCTCTGACCTGATGTTTGTACCAGTCCCTCCTCCATCTCACACCTGCATGTTTATTTGTCCTTTCAACATAGTAAGCTACTCCTGCCTCAGTGGCTTTGGTATTAATTGTTGCACCTGCATAGGATGTTCTTCCCTTTAGTGCTACATCAGCAGCTCCTTTCACTCTAGTCTTAAGCTTCAGTTTTATTTCCACAGAGAAGTCTTAAATGAGCAATATCTAGTAATGATTTATTATTCTGTTTTCCATTTTTCTCTGTGCTCACTACCAGACATTTTCATTTTTTAGTTAATGTTTATTTTATGTTTTCCTGCATTAGAGCATGAATTCCATGTCAACGAAGTTCTTGTTTCTTTTGTTCATCATTTATTACTAGATTACATAGCAGTGCTTATTACCTGGTAATTCTTCCATAAATAACATTTGCTCAATGGTTGAGAAAAAATGAAAGTGCATAAAATTCATCTTTGATATGTTTGTGTATATATATATATCTTATATTAATATGTGTAACTATGTAATATGTTTTTTCCACATATGATACAAGAAGTTAAACTAAGTCGGATATTTTATTCACTTGATAAGATGATGTAGAAGTACAGCATGTTCTTATGAAGAGAGCAAATATATTGAATAGTGAATTGATCCCACTTTATTTCCTGTCACATATCAATATCCTAGTCAATGTGAGATAAAGCCTAATTTCTATTTATTCTTTAAAATATACTGTGTCCAACAATTAAGCAGGTGTCATTTTGATTGCAAATTGAATCAATTTTTAATTCAAAATGTATGCTATCAAATTCAGCATTTCTTGAAGTAAAAAATTCCATCTCTAGAGCATATTCATGAGAAATGCTTACAAATTTCTTAGTAATATTGAAATAGACTTGAAGATAAAAAAAGGAATATAGCTATGCAGAATGAATTCTTCTCTCTCTCTAACCGTAGAAAATAACGTATGAGACAGTATATGCCTAAATGTATGTATAGAAAAACAAATAGAAAGGACTCAACAATAAAAGAATAAATTACTGCTGCACTTTTGAGGTTAAATCCAAGTTTATCTAAACACCACAAAAAAAAGTAAGTATTAAACTCTCTTATTTACTCTTTTACATTTTCTGCAAAATTAAACTCCGCATATTTTCTCAGAATTTACATGTTGTCTAATTATAAAAATAGTTGTCACAGAGAACTCCAAATTCTAATATATAGTCATCTTCAGATCAAAATTTGGAGGAGTAAATATAGAAAATAGCATGTATTTTCTATATAGACAATTTTGAAATTTGTATGTAGCTACTTCTTACAATTGTAGGCATCAGGACAATTTATGTTAACTCAGTTTAACTTAGTTTTCAAATCAGATTAATATTGATGCTTGTTTTATTCAATACTAACTGAGAAATAGTGGGAAAAATCATAACCAAATATAAATGTGTTATTCTATATCTATATTTATCATCTATCCATCTAGTCTATCCATCTATCTACTTACCTATCCACCTATCACTATTTAAATCATATCAATAAAATTTTTACTGTGGATCCCCTTTTAAAGTTTATTTTTTAATATAGTAGTCTGTTTTCAAAGTTATTTGGCTCTGTAAGATATTATATTTAAGGCAATAGAGAGTTAAGATCAGAAAATAGCCATAGCAGTGCCCAGTAGTGTTATAGTTAAACTCTTTGCTCAAAAAACAAAGTCCTGAATACAGAACTCAGGCTTGACGGTAGCATTTGTTTAATGCAATGTGATGCAGATGCCTGCTACTCACAGGTAGGCAGCCTTCCCTTCTTCCAGCTCTTTACTTTTGCCACTGGAGCCACTCTTCTTCCCACATATTCTCCTGGTGATGCACATCAGTAACCCACATTGCCGAACAAAGAAGCAGCTGACGTCTGTTACCACAAGAATTAGCAAGAGTGCTGCCACTCCCAGGCCAATGACAGCTCCAAGCCCAAGACCATTGAAAAGTGTGTCTTAAAAATAAAAAAATAAACAAAAACAAAAACAAGTAATTTTATTAAACCTCATACTAGAAAGTATTAGACAGTTATTTTAAAATAATAAATCTTATGTGAGAAATATCCAACTAAAGACACAGGAAAGAAGGGTTAGTCCCTGGAAGACTTCAAGTTCACGATTGTTAAGAGCTATTCTCTGATTTTCAAACAATATGTTAAGCCACTGACATAGTAATAATTTTAACTAGTTTTAAAAACATTTTTTTAGATAAAAACTCTTAAGTGACTCTCCTTTCCAATAGACTTCTTGGTTCCCTCTGGGAAAGATAATGAATATTATCATATCTGTAGCTGTACTTTATCAGAAAGTCATGCCAGTAATAGATCATCACCTTATTAAAAGGAAAATACACTCAAAACTCCTGTAAGGGAGGACTGAAATAGATGTTCTTTCTAAGACGATTTTAGTGTTAAGACTTAAATTTGCAAATGATGGCTCCAAGCACTTCGCTTTGACAGATAATACATTAAAAAAATATCTGTATGAATATTTTTAAAAACCATTATTTTAGAATAAATGTGCACTTGTATTTTTCTAGTTAATATTTTAACAAGTCACACTTTAGCAGTTACAATACTTATGATCTTTCTGAAGGTGGAGCACAATGGGAGATATTTTTCCTTGGCATGTAGTTGCAGGAAACCCCAAAAGCCATAAGAGAATATCCATGGAAAGGTGATTAAGAATCGGATGTAATATGCTGACTGAGAAAGAGAAATCGCAAGAGGGATTAGTGTCACAAAAATAAACCTTGTGTTACATGCCTGTGGCTGAATGTGAGGGTAGACAACACAGCTATAACCATATAGCTATGAAAATAAACACAATGGAAAGAAACCAGATTAAACTGGTTATATTGTGTTATCTAAAGTGGAAAAAGAGGATTATATAGGAAAACTTTACAGAATGACTCAAAATGATTCTTAGCACGATTATGTTAAAGTTTGCTTCATAACATTATAAAATTATAATTTCCTTTTTAATGATTAAAAAAAGAAGATATTACCCAGATCATAATGGCATGTTCATTATGTAACTGATGTGGAACACAAGCGAAAGATACAGAAACATTAGAGTTTTGAGAAAAGCCCTTCTGAAAAATTATACATAAAACAAAGGTTTCTAAGCCAGTTTTTAAAACTTAGTTAAAGAATTTTAATAAAGACTCAAATATATTTTTACCCAAAGGAATCAATATAATTATTCTTATTTTGAATTTACCACTAGTGGGCCAATCTTGAATATGTCATACTTGTCCAAATGCTAGCATACTTTTCTGCCTAATGATTAAGTCTCACGTCTACATTTTCTTTATTGGTACTTATTTTGGATATACTGCACATGATTCAACAACTGAACTCTGAAAAGAATAGCTGAAACTACATGCCTGATTGGGCTTTCACCCCTGGGATATATTGGCTCAATGACCTTCAAGCTTTCAACTATTCATCTTCTCTTCATCTAGGTCCTCCCTTCTCACGTGCAGACAGAATTGTAAGCAGTCACTCTCATAGATCAGTGATGATTTATCTGGCCCATTAATTATATAAATTCCCATTTACTTTTTTAAAATATGAAATTAGTTACTTTATACATAAAAGCATAAATTTAAAATTAAAAGTAACTAATTTTAAGTATAAAATCTTCCTTCCTACTTAAATACATTGGATCTGGCATTGGTAAATCCTGGTTTCATCATTTATTGCTCTACAACCTTAGGTGACTCAGCTAACTCTCTAAGGCTGGGTCACCTATTTATTACAATAGAGACAGTTATAAAAACCACTGCCACCACAGATAGGGTCATGGGATATGTAATGATTGTAGTGAATTACCTTTTTTAACATTTCCACACACATTGTCCCGCACTAAGTAAAAATTTAACAAATATTTAAAATTATTATTTTACCATTATATAATTCTAGGAAAATACGATTTTTGTGAAAGAATAGACTATCTAAAGTTTAATTTGTCTGTAAATATATTCTTCCACTAACAGCCTACAGTATCTCTTATTAAGCATTATTATTCTCTGGAAAATATAATCACTTTTTTAATGATTTAGGTTTAATGAGTTAGCTTTTACATAATAAATATCTTTGTGACTTTTTTAGCATTCAACCAGTATATTGATCTGCTTCATTTCCATCTGTAGTAAAAGTTCATAGAAATATTTTATTTGTAAAGTACCTTATAGTGAGAGAATATTGATGCTAAAATAGCTGTTTTTTTTTCTGGAGAAACAAAATTATATCTTTTTAATTTACAATTGAAAATTTTTAAAGTTACTTGAAGTTATTTTTATGAAAACCCAAATATTTTTGTCATTGCAAGAGATAGGATGGACATCAAATAGGTTTATGTTATAAATATTTAATTACGTTTTCTTTTGAGGTAATATTTTTTCTAATAAGCTCAAGGATATACTTAAATATATATTCTCCTTTCTCATGAGGTTAGACTGCAATAACTATGACAGGTAAATATTCTAATATTTTGTGCCAACAATTTACTCTGGTGTTAAAATTTACTTATTTGATATTGGATTTTTCACAAATAAAACCATGAACATCACTAGAATTACTTCACAAGAATTTGGGGACTAACAATGATTGATGTTCTCAGAAGCATGTAGGAAATTCTTCCTTTATAAGTTAATTATGATTTTAATTATTTAACAAATTGAAATGGACATAGCGGGCATTTAAAGGATTTTAAATTTATCTTATCTTTTTTTAGGTTTTTAGTTTTCCAGAATACTTACACATGTACTTTATGATATAATTTTAATAACAATCTCATTACAAATGAAAACAATACTATCAGGTCTACTTTACAGCTAAGAAAACTGAGGTCCAAAGGGGACACATAAAGACTATTTAGCTTCAGCTTTTGTATTTTTTATACCTGTTAGAGCTAATGTTTTATATCAGATATTCATTATCAAATAATCAAAAGACAGGAATAAAATATTGTGAATTAATTAAAATGTGTAATTTTCTTATAGAAAAATGTCAAATCCATTTGTTCCCTATACCAGTAGTGGAGGAACAACTATTTAAATAACGCAGAGGGGCTTCTGGTCAAGGTGAACGTGGTACTCGCATCCTCTCACAGCCACGTCAAATCTACAGCTGAACTGCAGAACATCCATCATTCAGAACTGCCTGACCCTGAGCTGAACAGAAGTCCTCTAAGTAACGATATAAAGACGCAGCCACAATGAGACTGGAAGGAGAGGTGGCAACTAGGAATGGGCTGGTCCCACACACATCTGATCGATACAAATTGGGAGGGATATCTTGGCTGCGGAGGTCGCCCTGGGGAGGGAATGGTCCCAGCCCCACACCAGACCTCTAGCCCAGGGCTCCAGTGAAGGGAAGAAAAGTCTCCATAATGTCTGGCTACAAAAGCCGGAGAAGATTGTGTCTGAGGGAGGCGGAGGGCTCTGGAGTCCTGGGCAGTTCCTCCTAAAGGGCCCGTCCATAGGCTTTCTCAAACCCCTTTGCTCTGAGCTCCAATGCGGGGGCAGCAGCTTGAAAGGCACCAGGGACAGACAGGGAGGAACTGAATTATTTGGCAGGCAGAAGTAGGGGCAGAAGCCATAGTTCCTTAGATGACCCCCACTACCCGCCACAGAACTGGCAGTCCAGGGACATATCTGAGTCTCCATCAACCTGGCTATCACTGTTCACCTGCCCTGGTGATTCCATGAGACACCCCGCTCCGCTTACCCAGCTTGTGGGCCCACCCAAGCTGATTCTAGTGGCTTTTCCATACAAATGGTCTCTTTGGGCCCATGTTTCAGACTTTCCTAAAATTTCTCAGACAAGCAGCATCTGAGCACAATGTCAGGCCTTTCCATTGTTCTAAATACCACATTTCTCTTCTGTGTTAAAACTATGGGGCTCCTGAATTTAAGGTGCCTCGTGTTCATCACTGAATTAATAGACTCATGCAATTTTGATTCATATTTAAATTCCCTGTTGAAGCAAATATTTGAACTTCTGAGGTTTCCAATGTCTGGGCAAAACTTCTTAACTGTGTTAATTGGAAATAACAGAATCATTGCAAATTATATCAACAAAAATGATTAAAAATACCAATTTGCATTAATTCAGAAATTTTTAAAAAAATCAGAGAGCAAACTTAAGGGCAACTGTGATTAGTTTTTATATTTTTCTCTCCTCTAAGCCACTTTTTAAATTGTTTCCTCATACACACAGAGAAAAATTGAGTATACCCTCCTAAGATACATGTTTTTCTTTTAAATTATAAACAGGTAATATTTTATAATTTTTATATTTGAAAAATACAATATACAATTATAAAACAAAATATAAGAAATTAGAAAGGTGATATAAAATAAGTATTAATGGAAATTCTGATTTTTTAAATATCCAGTGATATTGCTTACCTATTTTGTGGTCTGCATACCCCTATTGGATATATTTACATTGTATTTATAATTTTATTTTGTTTCATTTTTCTACAAAATGTGGACAATTCTCATATATTCTAGCCAAAATATTATTTGATAATCATATGAAAGCACTTTGGAAATTCAAGCATTATACAAATATGTTATTTCTTGTTATACTTGTTAGTTAATAGCAATTTTATTACTTATTTTTTCATAATATCTTCTTTTAAAGGCTTAGATCTCAACTTTTACCCCAAAACTTCCTAGATTTTAGCAAGTATGTTTACTTACTATTTATTTGAATATTGCTAAAATTCATGAACTACAATGAACAAAAATAATTGTAAAATTATATTTACATTTTAAATGTAGCTTTTTATTATTGCTGTTTGTTGATAAGTTCTCCTCATGAAGGTCTAAGGTTAAGATAATTGTTTTTAATGATAATTTTCATTTTTCTAGTTTTATATGTGCATTTCATGGTGACCAGAATTCAAGTTTCTTAATTTTATTATTTATTCATTTATTTAT